ACATACTGTTTAATTGGAAGATATTCAGAATGATAAAGGAAATTGTTAAAACGTTCATGAAAGTTGGAGAAAGTTCATAAAAGTTCCTGAGAAGTTCATAAAAATCTATGGAGAGCATATGGAAACCAATAGGAGCATGGAGTAGCCAGAGTTCATTCATAAAACAGGAATTCAATTAATAAATAATAACCAAATTGGTCACATGCTAGTTTGGGTAACAGGGGCATTGCCATGTGGGGCCATGGAAGAAGTCTTAGATTCCTACATGGGGGAGAAATAGGGGATTATGGGATCATTCCAGCCTGGTGTCCTTGGCAAAACTATGAATTCCCTGATTTTGAACTTTTTTTTTTACAGAATTCTGAGGGTGGGGTGGGGTCACCTCCAATCACATTCTGATTCCACTTTGATATATTCGAGATTTTCAAGCTCTGGATTCCAGAATCTGTGGCTGCCAGTATCCCTGGCTACAGAATCCATGGATACAGAGAGCTGACTATATAAACATAGCTTCTTGCTATGGCACTAGTAAAAGTCATATTGAGCATTCAGGTGTTGTTGCAGGCTGAGGTTTGATTAGACTATATTCTTAAGAAAAGTATGATTGCTGTGATTATAATGGTTATTGTTGTTGGTAAGTTAAAGTAGACTTTTGGATCTTTCACTTTTGAATGGCGAGGCATGTTGGGACTGGATAAAGGAAAGTTATTGACTGGCGAAAACCAGGGAAAAAGATAGATGGATAGAGAGAGATCACAAACTTCTCCAGAGCCAGTCACTGAATCTAACTTTAAAAGCCAATACCGCCTGCTTTGAAATGAAGCACAATCCTTGGGCACCAAATTCTTCTACAGTTTAAAGTTTGATCCCATCTGTAGAATTAATTCTGCTTTCCATTTCTTCCAACATCTCAACCACTCCTTCCATTTCAAGAAGCACAACTCTTATTACTCAGACCTGGTATTCCTCTCCCTTTCAGAACGAAAGGGATGGAATTATTCATTTTGGTTTTGTATTCGATTTTTCAGAGGGTTTTTTAAAACTGGAATGTCACTCCTCTTCAAATTCCAGTCCCCCAAATAGAGTGTGATGCATCGGCATGTTTATTTTACTAATACTTACAAAATTTTTAAAAAATTAGGAAGGTTGAAATCCACTGATCAACAAGGTGGAACAAATACAATTTGACACCACTTTAATTACTATAGATCCTGGGAGTTGTAGTTTGAAAGGTCACAGCCTTCTCTGGCCAAGAGTGCTGGAGCCTCACCAAACTACAAATCACAGGATTCTAATGCAGTTAAAATGAGGTCAGACTGCATTCATTCTACAGTGCAGATGCAATGTGGCATTATTATTATTGACCAAGCCATGGGTAGAAATGTAACTTGGAAATACTTTTTTATTCCCAATCATGTTCGGTTTAATTCTGTATCCCAGGAGAATACGAGCTGCTTATGCACATTCCAACACAGTACACAGCCTTATGAAGGGAGTCAGGGGAGAGTTCCATCTTGTCTCCTGTATATGTCATCTGCTGGGGAGCTCTCCCCCCAGCACCAACTGCCGCTCTGGGACATAGCAATTCCTAGACGACACAGCCGGACTAGATCCCTTCCAGTCCTGCTTCCATGCGGGGCATGGGACAGAGACTGTGCTGGTCTCCATCACGGATCACCTTCGATGCCAGCTTGACCAGGGCGGGTCAGCGCTGCTTGTGTTATTGGATCTCACAGCAGCATTTGACACAGTCGACCACAATCTTTTGACCCACCGCCTTGCTGTTGCTGGAGTCAGGGGGACAGCTTTAAACTGGCTGTCCTCCTTTCTTCACAACCGTGGACAGCGAGTGGAGAGGGGAGGCCTGGTCTCTGAGAGGTCCCTCTATCTTGTGGGGTTCCTCAGGGGGCCATTCTCTCCCCTCTGTTATTTAACATCTATATGCGACCACTTGCTCAGCTGGTTCGAGGTTTTGGGCTTGAGTGTTATCAGTATGCCGATGACACTCAGCTGGTGCTGAAGATGGAAGGCCGACCGGACTCTGTACCCGATTGTTTCCATCAGTGCCTCGAGGCCGTTACTGGATGGCTGCGTGCCAGCAGGTTGAGGGTGAATCCAGCAAAGACGGAGATCCTATGGCTGGGTCGACCGGGCAGTGGGGACATCCAGCTGCCTACCCTGGATGGCGAGGCGCTACGCCCATCATCATTGGTAAAGAGTCTGGGAGTCCTTTTGGACCCTCTGCTGACGATGGAGGCCCAGGTCTCCGCCGTTAGCAGAACCGCCTTTTTTCATCTGCGGCAGGCTAGACGGCTGGCCCCCTACCTGTCCAGGGACGGCCTAGCTACGGTGATCCAGGCCACGGTCATCTCAAGACTGGACTACTGTAACGCCCTCTACATTGGCCTTCCTCTGTCGGTGATCCGGAAGCTCAAACTGGTACAAAATGCAGCCGCTTGGCTTCTTGTGGGAATTCCAATGAGATGTCACATAACCCCAATCTTACTATAGCTGCATTGGTTACCAATTGAGCACCGGATCACTTTCAAAGTGATGGTACTCACCTTTAAGGCCTTGCATGGTCTGGGGCCGATGTATCTGAGGGACCGCCTCACCCCCTACCAACCCCAGAGATCCCTCCGTTCTGAGGACCAAGATCTATTGGAAGTCCCCAGTGTCAAGACCTTGCGTCTAACAGCAACGAGACACAGAGCCTTCACAGCAGTGGCACCATCACTCTGGAATACTCTGCCACCTGAAGTCCGTGCCTTGCGAGACTTACCAGCTTTCCGCAGGGCATGTAAGACATACCTGTTTCGACAGGCTTTTAATGTTTGATATCGCTGTTTTTAAATTGTTTTAAATTGCTTTTAAATTTTGTTAGATTTTAGCTATTCTTGTAAGCCGCTCCGAGCCCCAGGGGAGTGGCGGCATATAAGTTCAAATAATAAATAAATAATAAATAGTGAAGTGTGGGGGCAGGGGGCAGTTCCATCTTGTCTCTTGTGTATGTCATCATCTGAGGACCGCTCCCCCCAGCACCAACACAGCTCTGGGCCAGAGTGAAGAGAGAGGAGGCCAGGGGACAGTTCCATCTTGTCTCCTGCATACATCATCAGCTGAGGACCCCTCCCCCCAGCAGCAACTGCCACTCTGGGCCAGAGAGAAGAGAGGGGGAGGCAGGGGACAGTTCCATCTTGTCTCCTGCATATGTCATCAGCTGGGAACCCCTCCCCCCTGCATCAACTGCCGCTCTGGGCAAGAGTGAAGAGAGGGGGAGCTAGGGGACAGTTCCTAATGCTAATAATGTAATGTAATGTAATGTAATATATTGTAGTAAAGGTTTTCCCATGACATGAAGTCCAGTCATGTCCGACTCTGGGGTGTGGTTCTCATCTCCATTTCTGGCGTTGTCCCTAGACACCTCCAAGGTCATGTGGCCAGCATGACTGCATGGAGCACTGTTACCTTCCTGCCGGAGCAGTACCTATTGATCTACTCACATTTGCATGTTTTTGAACTGCTAGGTTGGCAGAAGCCGGGCCTGATAGCGGAAGCTCAAGCCGCTCTCTGGATTCGAACCATTTCAGGGGAAAACCTTTACCTTTACTACAATATATTATATTACATTACATTATTAGCATAGCACAGGAGACAAGGTGGAACTGTTCCCTGGCCCCCTCTCTCTTCACACTGGCCCAGAGGAGCAGTTGGTGCTGGAGGGATGGGTCCCCAGCTGATGACATATGCCCCAGCGGGAAGGTAACTGGTGCTCCTTGCAGTTATGCTGGCCACATGACCTAGATGTCTATGGACAACGCCGGCTCCTCGGCTTAGAAATGGAGATGAGCACCACACCCCAGAGTTGGACACGACTGAACTTAATGTCAGAGGAAAATTTGGTTTCTTTGCCCCTACAGGGGGAAAACCTTTACCTTTACCTACTATGCTCAACAACTCAAATCAAGAAATAGTTTTCTTAGATCTACAGAGACACTCGCTGGAACACCTCAGCAAGCGAGAGTCCAAAAGTGGCAGGCTCAAACTGAGCACCTCAATCCGTGGGTGATACCAGATGAGAGACTCCCCCCTGGGCACACAGAAGACTGGGCGACTTGGAAGGCGCTGAACAGACTGTGCTCTGGCACCACGAGATGCAGAGCCAACCTTAAGAAATGGGGCTACAAAGTGGAATCCACGACATGCGAGTGTGGAGAAGAGCAAACCACAGACCACCTCCTGCAATGCAACCTGAGCCCTGCTACATGCACAATGGAGGACCTTCTTGTGGCAACACCAGAGGCACTCCAAGTGGCCAGATACTGCTCAAAGGACATTTAATCAACTACCAAGCTTGCAAATTTGTGTTTTGTCTGTTTGTTTTTGTTAAAAATGTAAAATGGTTGCTGACATGATAAATACCTACTATGCTAATAATATAATATATTGTATGTATCTTGAAAGCTGCTCTGAGTCCCCCTTCGGGGTGAGAAGGGTGGCATATACATGTTGTAAATAAATCAATCAGTTATAAAGCTGCCAGTTTCCCCCTCTTGCCTTTACTGAAAGGGAAGGCGGGAAACCTAATTTGACGCGTGGGGGGGGGGGACGACAGACAAACACACACACTAGATGCCTTTTTAGAGGGTGTTTTAACACTGGTTTCCTCTCTTCTTCACACTATTAAATCCTATTCGCGAAAGCAGCAGTAGCGACAACGGTTTAGGATATCTTCTGTCTAATTATCACCCTCCCCTCCCCACTTTTTTTTTGTTTTGGATTCTCCCGTCCACACGCCCGCAAAAGCACTGCGCGCTTGCAGTGTCAGTTAAAAATGCAACGTCCCTCTCAGCTCTCCCTATTGGATCATTTTCCCCCTCCCCCCGATGGCGTCATGATACATCCACTAATCGGAAAGCTCCGCGCCCCTTTCAAAAAGAATACCCACCGCCTATTCGCGGAGGAATTTGAAAGGAGTCCCTCTTCTAAGGTTGGCTTCAAGTTGAGTTCCGGGGACTTTTTCCTCACTGCTCAAGCAGCGATAAAGGAGATGGTGAGTATTACAGTATTTGCAGGCGTCTGAAGACAAGGCGGAAGGATACAGAGCGAGGAGACCTGTACGTCACAAAGGCGGAGGTTTGAATCGGCGAGGTTCCGCGCGCGCGGCCAAAGGCAGGTAACGGGCGTCATTGGGGCTCCGGAGAGCGCGCGCGAGAGAGGCTTCTCGGCGCCAAAGTTCCCCTGACAGCGCCAGAGTCCCTTGTGAGGCTTCAGCTTTTGCAGAATGTAAGCCATAGACGCCACGGAAGGGGTTTTCCAATGGTTTATGTGTTTCTCACTGATGTCTTGTGGTTTAAATGGATCCTATGTTGTTGTACTAACAGCATGTTGTGTGTTTCTCCCTGAGGGCATGGGTTTAAATAGTTTATGTGGTTTAAATGGTTTATATATTGTACTAACGGCATGGGGTTCAAATGGTGCATGTATTTCTCACTGATGGCGTGGGTTTCTAATGGTTTGTGTGTTTCCAGCTCATGGCGATGATTTTAAACAGCGTCTAGGCGCTCCTCGAGTTACAAACATCCGACTTCCAAACGACTCCTTGTTTAGAAGGGACATTCACCCCTGAAATAGTTATAAGGAAAAGGGGTCTCCTCTTTTACCGCACGAATTAAGGTGAAGCCATGGGTTTTAAATGGAGCATGTGTTTCTAACTGGTTTGGATGGTTTATAGATTTCTCTGCTGATGGCATGTATTTAGAATAATGCATGTGTTTGTAACTGATGGCATGGGTTTCAAATGGTTTGTGTGTTTCCAACTCATGGCATAGGTTGTAAACAGTTTACAAGTAGTCTTTTATGCTTGAATTAATTTTTTGATGTGTTTTTAATGACTTTTAATATTTTAAATGTAATTTTGAGTGTTTATATGCTGATAGCATCTTATGATGCTTGTGTGAGGCCGCCCTGAGTCCCCCTGAGGGGTGGAAGAGCAGGGTAGAAATGCATTAAATAGATAAATAGTCCCCAAGTTCACCCCGAAAGAGTTATGGCAGTGTTTCTCAACCTTCCTAATGCGGAGACCTCTTAATACAGTTCCTCGTGTTTTGGGACCCCAACCATAAAACTATTTTCGCTGCTAATTCATAACTGTAATTTTGCTACTGTTATGAATCATAATGTAAATATCTGATATGCAGGATGTATTTTCATTCACTAGAACAAATGTGGCACAATTATCCAATACACCCAAATTTGAGGAAGAATCGATTTCATCATTTGGGAGTTGTAGTTGCTGGGATTTATAGTTCACCTACAATCAAAAGCATTCTGAACTCCACCAATGATGGAATTAGCCAGACTTGGCACATAGAACTCACATGACAAACAGAAAATACTGGAAGGGTTTGGTGGACATTGACCTGGAGTTTTGGAGTTGTAGTTCACCTACATCCAGAGAGCACTATGGACTCAAACAATGATGGATCTGGACCAAACTTGGCATGGATACTCAATATGCCCAAATGTGAACACTGGTGGAGTTTGGGGGAAATAGACCTTGACATTTGGGAGTTGTAGTTGCTGGGATTTATAGTTCACCTACAATCAAAGAGCATTCTGAACCCCACCAACAATAGAATTGAGCCAAACTTCCCACACAGAACCCCCCATGACCAACAGAAAATACTGTGTTTTCTGGTGGTCTTTGGCAACCCCTTTGACACCACCTCGGGACCCCCAGGTTGAGAAACGCCCGAGAAAAGGGGTCTTCACTTTTACAACACAAATTAAACTGAAGCCATGGGTTTTAAATGGAGCATGTGTTTCTAACTGGTTTAGATGGTTTATAGATTTTTCTGCTAATGGCATGTATTTAGAATGGTGCATGCGTTTGTAACTGATGGCATGGATTTCAAATGGTTTGTGTTTCCAACTCATGGCATGGGTTTTAAACAGTGCCAGACTTCCCACACAGAACCCCCATGACCAACAGAAAATACTGCTGGTGGTCTGATGGTCTTTGGCAACCCCTCTGACACCACCTCACAACCCCCAGGTTGAGAAACACTGAGTTACGGGGAAAGGGGTCTCCACTTTTAAAACACAAATCAAACTGAAGCCTTGCGTTTTAAGTGGACTTGTGTTTCTAACTGATGGCAGGGGTTTCAAATGGTTGTGTGTTTCCAAGTGATGGCATGAGTTTCAAATGGTTGTGAGTTTCTAACTGATGGCATGAGTTTCAAATGGTTTATGTGTTTCTAACTGATGGCATGGGTTTCAAATGGTTGTGAGTTTCTAACTGATGGCATGGGTTTCAAATGGTTGTGTGTTTCCAACTGATGGCATGGGTTTCAAATGGTTTGTGTGTTTCTTACTGATGTGATGTAGTTTAAATGGTTTATATGTATATATGTATAAAGACTGACTGCTCATTGGAGGGAAGGATAATAGAGGCCAAGATGAAGTAGTTTGGCCACATCATGAGAAGAAAGGAAAGCTTAGAGAAGAGTATGATGCTGGGGAAAATGGAAGGAAAAAAGAAGAGGGGCCGACCAAGGGCAAGATGGATGGATGGTATCCTTGAAGTGACTGGATTGACCTTGAAGGAGCCTGGGGGTGGTGACGACCAACAGGGAGCTCTAGCGTGGGCTGCTCCATGAAGTCACGAAGAGTCAGAAACGACTGAACGAATGACCAACAACAAGCAAATGTATATATGTACTAACAGCATGTATTTTAGATTGTGCATGTGTCTGTAGCTGATAGCATGGGTTTCCTATGTTTGTGTGTTTCTAACTAATGGCACATAAGTTAGCTCATAAGCACAAAGTAGCTGCATGCAATAACATCCAATGGAAACTTACTGGCAGTGCATAAGGAGCAGACCCAAAATTAATAACATCAGCCCTGGCCTTGTCTTATTCAACTGCCAAGTACTCCTGCCCAGTTTACCACAAGTCTTGCCCACACGTAGCAGTCAGAATATTAGCAAAGTGCATCCTAGCTTTTGTGTCTTATCCTGAGTGAAAATGCAAAGGTGTCTGGAGCAGCATTCTTCAACTTCAAAAACAGAGCAATTTGGCTCATCCTGTGAAGGGTGTAAAGCTCATCTACCTGTGAAAATCCACCACAACAGACATCACTTTTGGCCAGATGAAAAAATCCAGACAGCTGTGATGAGGCTTTAAACATCTCAAGTGGACTTTCTCCACTGCTATGGAGAGTGGTAGCAACATTGGCATTGCTGTATTCAAACACAAGGAACGTATCTTGAAGGGAATAAACTAAATGCATGTATGTTCAGTTAATATTAATTTTCATTAATTTAGGGACAGAACACATATAATCCTAAGTGATGGCATGTGTTTTAAATGGTTTATGAATTCTGTACTGATGACGTGTTTTTGAGGGACAATATGTTTTGGAGATTGTTGTTCCCAACCTTGATTCATTGGGAGAAGAGGAAAATGGAAGAAACATGGCTGTTTTGCAAACCGTTGACTTCACATTATTGAAAGAAGGGAAGAAAATTGCCTTACAAATAGGCATATAGACAGTCCCTAGGTTACTGACAAGATAGGATCTGTGAGTTTATTCTTAAGTACACTTGGAATATTTTTTTTACTGTAACTCCATCCAAATTTTCATTGTGGTTTTCCCCCCAGTTGTAGCATAGGGAAACTTAACACCCCTCTAAGTTTTGCTGTCTGCCTCTGTTCAGAAGATTTCACCTCACTAGCTGTGTCTGTAACAATTGGTGCGGAAACAAAAATTGGTGATAAAACTTCTGTGGAGATACAATTTTCTCATAATAAACTTTTACATGAATGTGTTTCTCTTAGGGGTAGACTTCCTGTTTGTAACTAGGAGTTGAATTTAAGTCAAAGTTTGTAATTTGCAGACGTCCTTTAATTTAATTAGGACCTAGCATTTTATCCCTAGTGCTATTTTCCAAGAAACACAATTTTAACTGTAATCACAATATTTTTTGGTGTAGTGCAGTTTCAAAAAAAGTGTGTTTTGGGGTTTATTATTGTAATAGAAAGATTTTGATCATTCACAGTAATTGACATTTTGAGACTTTACATTTTTCAATCTTTACAGATAAAATGACAAAATGCCTCTCTACGGGAAAATTGTTGTTATTAGAAGGAACGGGAGTGATGGAACTCATTTTCCATTAACTGGGAATTCTTGCTTGTTTGGAAGGTAAATTTATATTTGTTACACTGTATTGCCTAAGCTTTGTTATTACTAAGGTCTATGTGCATTGTGAAAGATTCGTAGCATCTTCTTATAGCAAAACTTCAGTTGGTTAATTCAAGTACATTTTCAACTTGCCTCCTTGTATCAGTTCCAGGTTTTCATGTTGATGGAAAATAAGGCTTTTTGAGAATTGGCAGTGAAATGAAGTTCACTCTCCATGTTTGGTTTTAAAATTCTTCCTTAAATATATAAAAGGCAAAACTTGGCACATTCTGAATTAGCGGATGAGATACAGTAGGCTGAAAAAAAATGCAGGCCACATGTATTGCCACACACACATCCTAATTTGATGAGCCAGTCTGTTTTAGGCTAGGAAGAGGATTTTTAAAAATTTCAAAACAGTAAGTGTGTCTGCATGACGGTTTTTCCTAAAATTGTCTTCAGACCCAAAAAGGCTTTACAAGAGAATTCAAGGCACCTTTTAAAACATCTGTGTAGCAAAGTATTTCAGCAAAATAGATCAGGCTTCATATCTCTATCTCTCCAAACACAAACTGCCTATGAATGGAACTCTTACTCGAAAGGGAGAGACATAGGGTATAAAATGATTGCCGTTAGATGCCTCTCCTAGCACATAAGAGCCCCTAACATCAGTTGTTTTCAAGATGGCAACCATGAACCATTTGCAGAGTTCTATATTTGTATATTTTATATTTGCTACTGGCTCAAGACAGTTAGTAAAACTTGCTAACTCAGTATCTGTTCCTAACGTTTTGTGTACCTGTTACATATTGGCATTGTGAAATGTTTTGAAATTGAGTCTATCATTTTGAAACACCCAAATAGGATGTAGACATTTGAAATTATTGTGTATACTGCAGTCTTGTTAGTGCAATATTGTGATGCTACCAGTTGTGTTTGCTTCGTTTGTGGGAAGAGGGAGGAAAGGTTTGTTATCTAGTTTCCCAAATACTTTTCCCTAAAGGAGTCATAGGAGGGATGGGATTGGCAATAGCCTGGACTGAAAGGTATTGTTCAGGATGCATTGGTGGGGAAGGATAGTAGGCTGCATTACCCGTGGTCCCTGCAAAACAGCTTAAGGAACAGCGGGTTGATAACGCTGGATAGCCTGAGGAAAATGGAATCTATAGTATTATTTGTCTGCCTGTGGGAATAGAGAATAACAATAATGATGAATTGGATTTGTTACCTCCCTCTCCTAATGGTTCAAGGTGAGGTAAAACAATGTCAAAACATATGAACATAAAATACATAGATTGAAACGCACCATTATAAAAAACATACACCAAACAAAGAATACAAAAATCAAGATATAGCAGCAATAGAATACAGATTCAAAACTCATTCAAAGTTGAGTGATAGGCCTGCCAGAAGAGATGGGTCTACATTTGAGTCTTGAATTCCCCAATAGTTTATTTAGCTCTCAAGAGTTCTTCAGGCAGATCATTCCACAGTCTTGGGATGGCCAAAGAAAACGTCCTCTGGGTGTCACTTGCCAGTTGGGTTCTGGTTAGTTGGTATAAGCATCCCCCAGATGAAAGGCAGCACTGAGGTCGCAGTGATTCTTATCTATTAAAACAAGCTCAGATTTATAATTCTGAATGGGTGTTGTTTAAGAATTGAGTATAGTGTACAGCTGTATAATATACAAACATAAACATGTGAATGATTTCATTTCTTAAGGAAAAAAGAATGTGACATCCGAATTCAGCTGCCTGAAGTTTCCAAGGAACACTGTAAAATTGAAGTCAATGAAAACAAGGAGGTGTGTATAGATTGCTGCTTTGGGATTAATTGGGGCTGATTTAATGTGTTTTCTTTTTGTCAAAAAACCATGACTGAGCTGAATATTTATTTATTTTTAGGTCACTTTGTTTAACTTAAGTTCTACGACTCCAACACAGCTGAATGGAAATATTGTTCAAGATCCCACATTCTTGAAGCATGGCGATATACTGACTGTTATTGATCGTTCTTTCAGGTTGGTAAATCTCAAATACATAAACAGCTGTATTATTTCTCATGCTAGTTTACACCATTTTCAGCCCCAAGAGAAGGGTGGAGATAGTGAGCAGGATATCTAAGGCCCATTCTACACTGCCATATAATCCAGATTATCAAAGTAGATAATCCACATTATCTGCTTTCAGATGGATTATATGAGTCTGCATGACCATATACTCCAATTCAAGGCAGATAATCTGGATTTAATATAGCAGTGTAGAAGGGGCTTAAGACAGATATACAAGGGAAAAGGTAGTAGAGAAAACACATTAAATACAGTAAATGAAGAAAGAATTAGAGGACTAAGTCTCAGCACTTTGGGAAAATACAAGGAAACACCAGTTTGGCAATGCTGAAGATTAGGTGGTAGCGTTTTCAGCAGGAGAGGCATTTTAATAGTGAATTAGATTTAGATGGTATTTTGAAGAGACTCCAGGGTTTAAATTTAAGTTGATTCCTTTTGAATAAATTATGCAGTTGCAATTTTTGATTACTGTTAAACATTCTAATTTCATAATTCCTCTAATCTATTACTGAATACTGAAACTAGTGAAATTTAGGACTCATTTATACTATAGAATTAATGTGGTTTGAGACAGCTTTCATTACCATGGCTCATTGCTATAGAAGCCATTATTTTATAAGCCTTCTTTTCCAAAGACTGCTGGTGTCGCACCAAACTACAAATTACTCAGAATTCCATAACCTTAAGGCAGGGGTCCTCAAGCTACGGCTCATGAGCCACATGCAGCCCGCCAAGGAGGAGGCCTCCTTCTCAGTGCCTGGCGGGCCTGGAAAGCAGCGAGGGGCTTTGCGTGAAGCCAGGATGCTCTGTGTAGCGCAAGCCAGGTGAGGGGAGCTGCACCATACAGTCTGTTCTTGCATAAAGCCCCTTGCCACTTCCATTCCATAACCGACGGGTGGCGCAAGCCAGGTGAAGGGATTTGCGCAATGCCAGTCCATGCGGTGTGTCGTACGAATCCCCTCGGTTGGCTCGCGTGGCCTGTTGGGCCTGACAAGCAGTGAAAGCAGTGAGGGGCTTTGCACGAGAACAGGCTGCATGGTGCAGCTTACCTTGCGCTGCCCTTGCGTGAGCCAGGTGAGGGAAGCTGCACTGCACTGCCTGGCATCACGTGAAGCCCCTCCCGGCTTTCACCACTTGCCAGGCCCCATGGGCGGTGCAAGCCAGGCCAGGTGCGAGCCTTTCCACCGGATCCTGGCCCAGACCCCTCCAGGATGATCTTCAATGGCAGGTAAACTATATATCCCAGAAACTCCCAAATATCAAGGTTTATTTCCCTAAGCCTTTCCAGTATTTTCTGTGGGTCATGGGAGTTCTGTATGACAACTTTGGTTCAATTTCATTGCTGGAGTTCAGAATGCTCATGGTTAGTAGGGGAACTATTCGTCCCAGCAACTCCCAAATGCCAGTCTATTTTCCCCAAGCCTCTCCAGTATTTTCTGTTGGTGATGGGAATTCAACTGATAGTGATCAGTAAACATATTCATGGGTTCTCAACTGTTATATTAAGACTGTTACCCATGCTGTGACATGCTTGAAGTCAACATTTTCATTTATTTGTAATTAGAAATAATATTTCACAATGTATAATTACATATTGTTTTTGTGATTAATCACTATGCTTTATGTTCAGTTTGTAACAATGAAAATACATCCTGCATATCAGATATTTGCATTATGATTCATAATAGTAGCAAAATAAGATATGCAGTGTGTATAGGAATTTGATCATAGTTTATTAAAAACTATAGTCCGGCCTTCCAACAACCTGAGGGACAGTAAGCTGGCCCCCTGTTTAAAAAGTTTGAGGACCCCTGCTTTAAGGCATGGCAGTTAAAGTGGGGTCAAACTGCATTAATTTTACAGTATCACTACAACCTTACTGTGGTATTGCACCGACCTGTAATCCCAAGTTAAGATTTCGAGCACTGACTGTCTTCAGAGGGCAGTCATTGTGCTTCACTAGCATAAATATGAAATAGTCCAATATTAAGCCATCTTCCTACCCACACAGGTTTGAATATCCACCTTTGTCACCTCGTCAGAAGAGATTTTGCAGATCTCAAGAGAAAGAAACATTACAGGTACATAATTGGCAGTATATGTCTTCACAGTTTACTTGGATAAATGAAATGTCCAGGAATAATACGTCAAAATTAACTAGTTGCATATTACCTAATTAATATTCTTTGCATTTTTGTTGACTTGGTAACTGGTTGCAGCAAGATGTCCATCCCAATTTGGATTGAAACATGCCATGCAAATGACATACATTTGCTCCCTCTTTCCGTATCAGTTAAACTCCCAGTAGTGTCTTTACTGGGCTGATGTGGGAAAATGTATTTGAAGGAGTAGGTATGCATTCATTGGAGGATAATACATAAGCTGTACCTATTGGTTTTCTTGGCAAGATATGTTCAGAAAGGGGTTGCTGTGAATTGCCCAATAGGCTTCCATGGCCAGTTGGGCATTCATACTCTGGTCTCTAGAGTTGTAGTCCCATGCTGAAACAATTGCACAATGCCGAAGCACACATTATTGAGGATTAAAATGTTTATTGAATTTGGCTTAAAAATTGTGAAATCTTGCTGTGGGAAAGGAATTGAATTGTAACATTTCCATTTAGTTCTTTATTCCAGTAAGTAAGCAGAATTCTGTAAACTGGCAAAAATGTATCAATTGTTTTGGTATTTTTATAAACAGGTTCTTCATGTCCAACAGAAAGAAGATGATTTGCTGCACCCACAGGATTCAGAAAACAGAAATCCTCAGATTTCTGGTTGGTATTTCTTCACATTTGAAGTATCGAACAATTATTTTAGGTCTTGTTAATACTAAGAAAAAAGATAACCAACTAAGAATTTGCATTATTTGGATTACTAACAAATTAGAACAATATAAACTATAATAAAATCTGAAGAATTGATCTAATGCTGATCTGATGCTTCTTAAGACCGAAGAGAAGGCAAGAGGAAGAAGAAGGTTAAAGAGCTATAAATCGCCATTGCAGACAACTGACCTTGGAGAAACAATGTTTAGACTACAGCAGAGGCTTCTTTAAACAAACTGAAAAAAAAAACCATAGAAAATAAACGTCAGCTCTTAGAGTTAACAGGAACTGAGGCAGGACCCGTAGCCAGATATTTGATCCAGTACAAACGATTCTTGTGCTTTAGTGTACACATTAACAATAGAATGCAAAATACTCCCTTTATGAAAATGTCGTCAAAAGGCACTTAGGATCTTTAAAGGTGTTCTTCACATTGATACAGCTATCCCAAAGATAGATAAGATTTATGAGTTTCGAAAGGTAGTGGCTTAATACATTTTTATCTTTTGTTCACCCAAAAGTGTGCAACTACAGAGCTTTGTTTATTAACCCAACTGCCTGGGAATAGAATAGAAAGAGGATGACTGTCAGTAGCAATCTGACTCCTGAATTAATTGGCTTGATATATTTTGGTGGTGTCTTGATATATTTTGTTCTTCTTTTGTAGACATTAAAAAATCACCTCAACAGTGTAAAAATACAAAACATGATTTATTAACTCAGCCGCTTGGGAAAAGAAAGAGTGTGTCTTTTGGTGTCCAACCAAGTCCTGAGTTATTGGATAAATGTTTGCCTCCAAACTCAACACGTGCAAGACATAAAATGGCTGGAAGACGGAGTTTACCACTTCAAAACGCACCTCGAGCAGTGCTGAAAAATGACCTAGGACTAAGACAGTCTGTAACCAAGGTAAATTAGCTCCTGGTTCTGAAATATCTCAAATGTTCACATGAACATTCATGTTCTATGCCTTTCAGGTATAATGTTAAAATTTTTATGTTTTCTCATGATGAAATGCCTTGGAATTTTGGTGATTTTTTTTTCATATTCACTGTCATGTCAGCAGAAGTTCTAATCCACTGACCTGTCCCTTTAAGGCTCTGGGAGGGAGGCGGAACTCAGGCCTTGGAATGGCAGTTATTTTGTCAGTTAGAATTTGTCAGTGTGTAGCACTGGAAGGAAGCATAGGAAGGTAGAAGGTGTACAGAAATTCAAGTCACATCGGAACTATTAATTCACATCATGTCGGGATTGTATTCAACTTAGACTAAAGAACAAGATAATACAGTAAAACAAAGTCATGTTGGAATTGTATCACAGTAAAGTAGTGCGGATTCACAGCATACCACTAGGGAAACTACGGTTACAGGTAAGCAACCTCTCATGTTTAAAGATACACTGAATCCAGTCGTGTTCGGACATTATACTATGTAGCAATAACCATCCAGAAACAAGATTCGAGAACAGAATTGTATAGACTTCAAAGATTTATTTTCTGCACAGAGAAATTATAGTGGCAACCAGGGGAAAAGAAGTTCAATTTTTCTGTCAATAGAATGTTTTAATTCACCAAATACAGTCTCCAATCTGTCCTTTGTGCCACTGCTCTTTCCAATTAATTTTAGTAAGCACAAAAGGCAGAACATGCACAGTTTATAAATGCACCTATGATCCAATATATTAATGCAATTGTCAGATTGAGGGTGGTGTCCATAGACAACATTTATGTATTTTAAATTATGTATTATTGTATTTTTAACAGGATCAGCCCCAACCTAATTTGATGGAAAAAACTGCCTTGCTACAGGGCCATGGGTCCCCAGCTGCTTTGTCCCTAGCCTGCAGAATGAGTCCTGAACAAAACAGAAGTTCTTTTCTAAGGCATATGACAACAGAGGAATGTTTAATAGTCTCTACAGATTTGTCTAGTACAGATAGAATAACACATGTTCAGGCACTTGATGCTAGTGTGAACGGAGACTGGCCTCAAGAGGAGGAAGATAAAATGAAACAACCAACTACAAACAAACCTATCCAGAATGTTGAGGCAGAGAATAATGAACCAATTAATTCCAATGCATCTGAAAGGGGCCTTGAAAATGAGGTTGAAGTGCCAGCTGAAACCGTTTCAGAGTCAAACATGTCAACTCCATTACCTAGAAAGTCAGGTAAATATTACCAGCGAAAGACTTTGCAGATTGTTTTGGTAGCCTCCTTTGTAACTATACTTTTCTTTTTTAGTCTTTCTTTAAAAAAATCAAATTATTTAATTTAAACCAGATTGCTTTCCTAAATCACCAGTTCCTGCTTATACTTATATTTTTACCATCTAGTTCTGTCACAGTCTGGCTTTAGGCCGGGACATGGAACTGTCACTCCATCTGTCACTAAAGAGGCTGTTCAGACCTTGAACCTGGTTCTTGGCTGCAGTGTCGGACTGAAATTGAATCTAGATAAGACAGGTCCTCTGGTCAGTCGAAAGGCCGAACTGGGATAGGGTTACAGCCGGTGTTGGATGGGGTTACACTCCCCCTGAAGACTCAGGTTCGCAGCTTGGGAATGATCCTGGATTCATCACTGAGTCTGGAACCCCCAGGTCTCAGTGGTGGCCAGGGGAGCTTTTGCACAGTTAAGAATTGTGCGCCAGCTGCACCTGTACCTTGGGAAATCTGTTCTGACCATGGTGGTCCATGCTCTTGTTACATCCGAAATGTATTACTGCAACACACTATGTGGGGTTACCTTTGAAGACTTTGAAACCTCCAACTAGTCCAATGGGCGGCAGCCAGATTACTAACTGGAGCGACATACAGGGAACATACCACCCCTCTGATATGTCAGCTCCACTGCTGCCAGCCCACTTCCTAGCACAATTCAGAGTTCTGGTCTTGGCCTATAAAGTCCTATATGGTTCCAGCCCAGCTTACCTGTCCGAACATATCTCCCTCTACATCCCACCTTGGAATTTAAGATCATCTGGGGAGGAGCTGCTCTTGGTCCTGTCCTCTTCACAAGCGTGATTGGCAGGGACAGGGCCTTCTTGGTGGTGTCCCCCTGCCTGTGGAGTGCTCTCCCTAGCAAAATTGGGTTGGCTTCATCCTTCTCTTTCAGAAAGAAGCAGGTTCACACACACAAAAATACATACAATACATTATACCATTAGCACAGTACAATATCAGCACTATACATCACTACATTGTACTATACAATTATATTGTAATATTATAAAATTATAATTATAAAATATATAATTATATTATTATTCGTATTATACTGTATTACATTATAATATTATAAATAGTATATGTATATACAATATATTATATATTAGCATAGCACAGGAGACAAGCTGGAACTGTCCCCTGGCCTCCACTGTCTTCACTCTGGCTCAGAGCGCAGTTGGTACTGGGGGAAGGGGGTTTCCAACTGATGACATATGTAGGAGACAAGCTGGAACTGTCCCCTGGCCATTCTTGTCCTCACTCTGGCTCAGAGCGGCAGTTGGTGCTGGGGAAAGGGGTTTTCCAACTGTTGACATATGCAGGAGACAAGATGGAACTGTCCTCCCTTGTCCTCACTCTGGCTCAGAGCGGCAGTTGATGCTGCGAGGAGGGGTCTCCAACTGATGACATATGCAGGAGACAAACTGGAACTGTCTCATGGCCTCACTTGTCCTCACTCTGGCCCAGAGCGACGGTTGGTGCTGGGGGGAGGGGCCTCCAACTGATGACATATGCAGGAGATAAGATTGAACTGTCTCATGGCCTCACTTGTCCTCACTCTGGCCCAGAGCGACGGTTGGTGCTGGGGGGAGGGGCCTCCAACTGATGACATATGCAGGAGACAAGATTGAACTGTCCCCTGGCCTTCCTTGTCCTCACTCTGGCCCAGAGAGACGGTTGCTGCGAGGAGGGGTCTCCAACTGATGACATATGCAGGAGACAAACTGGAACTGTCTCATGGCCTCACTTGTCCTCACTCTGGCCCAGAGCGACGTTGGTGCTGGGGGGAGGGGTCTCCAACTGATGACATATGCAGGAGACAAGATTGAACTGTCCCCTGGCCTTGTCCTCACTCTGGCCCAGAGAGATGGTTGGTGCTGGGGGAGGGGTCTCCAACTGATGACATGCAGGAGACAAGATGGAACAGTCTCCTGCCCTCACTTGTCCTCACTCTGGCCCAGAGCGGCAGTTGGTGCTGGGGGAGGGGTCTTCAACTGATGACATATGCAGGAGACAAGTTGGAAGTGTCCCCTGGCCTCCCCTAACTTCACTGCTTGAACTCAGACAATGGCAGGCTTGGACTGAGTTGTCGGTCGTTAAATTAGATTTGGACTTGACTATATGATAAATAATAATGTTTTAATGTATTTTAATCCAATGTATTTTAATATATTTTAATCTAATGTCTTTTCTCTTTTATAATGTTGTTGTAATGTGTTTGTATGTTGCCAGCATCTAATTGCTGCCGTTGTATGCCGCCTTGAGTCCCCCTTCGGTGGTTGAGAAGGACAGGGTAGAAATGTTGGAAATAAATAAAATAAATAAATATTGTTTTGTTTTTCTTTTGTAGGCATTAAAAAGTCACCTGAAAAGCGTCAAAATACAGAACATGATTTATTAACTCACGTGCTTGCGAAAAGAAAGAGAGTATCTTTTGGTGGCCAACTGAGTCCTGAGTTGTTTGATAAACGTTTGCCTCCAAACTCACCACTTAAAAGAGGTGCAACTCCTAGAAGAATGAGTTTACCATTTGGAAACTCACCTCGAGCAGTGCTGAAAAAAGGTTTGGGATTAAGACAGTCTGTAACCAAGGTAAATTAAGTTCTAGTTCTAAATGTTCAGATTTAGATCTAGCTATTACTCTACGGTAATAATTTTCCCCGCGTGGTAGGCCTGTTATTCACACAAATGGTAATCCCTGCGCTCGCGCAGGCCAGCAACGGACATTCCCAAGATTTTTGTCTAATTTCTTTATTCATGCATTGTATCCAATATATTCATTCAATTGTCAGAGCCTCCGGTGGCTCAATGGGTTAAACCCTTGTGCTGGCAAGATGGCTGACCAAAAAGTACGCGGTTTGAATCCGGGGAGCGGAGTATGCTCCCATCTGTCAGCTCTAGCTTCCTGCAGGGACATGAGAGAAGCCTCCCACAGGATGGTAAAACATCCAGGTGTCCCCTGGGCAACATCCTTGCAAACGGCAATTCTCTCACACCAGAAATGACTTGCATTTTCTCAAGTCATTCCTTACACACACACACACACAAGGAATTGTCAGGTCCCTAAAAAGGGAATTGTCAAGTCCCTAAAATTTGAGATGTGGAAATGTCTGCCATTCTTATTAGCTCTAAAAGTTTAATTACAGGTTGACTTTATGTTTTTTTACACTGCAACTCCCAACAGACCTAGTCTACATAGGCTATGGAAAGGGGTGCCAGGAGGTGCAGCCTGGAAACCCCAAGTAGCTGAAGAATTTCCAGCTGTGATGCAGACTATAAAATGTATTTTATACATTGTAAAATGTATAAAAGATGCTAATTTGATTAATTCATAGAATTGTACTTTTGTAATATTTATGAAATGTGTAATTATAAAGGCCCAAAACTATCCTGGAAATAAACCCATTGTTAGGTTGCGATGAAGCATCAAACAGTTACAAACTAAGATACCTAACTAAGCATGTCATCATTATTACCAGTTCTATGAGTAGAAATAGAGTTGGACATGAATATAATTAATAAATCTGGATATCGGGTTAAACTGACTAGCACAAAGTTATTCTATTTATCTTTTCCATAATTCTATGAGATGAGTAGGGAAGGGAAGGACTAAAATCTGAGTTTTGTTCTTAAATTATGTTATGCTTTAAGCACATTTGATCTGCGTTTTCCATGTATTTCTGAGCATTTGTTCTTTTCTGTCCTTTGAATAGGAGCAGCACAAAACTGTTATGATGAAAAATGCCTCACCCAAGGCCCGCAAGTCCCCTGCCACCTCTCCCAAGACCCCTTCCACCTCACCCTCAACTCAAAAGTCTCCTGCCACCTCGCCCAAGGCCCCTACCACCGCTCTCTCAACTCGAAGATCACCTGCTGCCACTCCCATAGCCCACAGGTCCCCATCCACCTCTCCTGCAGCCCGCAGGTCTCCTTCCCCATTGCCCCTAGTTGAGATGTCATGTGGCATAACCCAAAGAAAAGGACGCTTTTCCATTTCTCATGTTACCTGCCCATCATCTGAAGAAGGGGATTCCATCACCACACAAATCCATCAGAATAAGGACTTTGATTATGTAAAGACATCTGAAGCTGTTGGTGTGGTATCTCAAGCTGATCCCTCAGTAAGAAGAAGCAAAAAAATTTCTCTAAAGAGAAGCTCCATGCATAGAAGAAACAGCACAATGGATTCTGTTCACTCTAAAAGACGAAGTGGTGCTTCTGAAGCCAACTTGATAGGTTTGTTCCAATTGTTATTAGCAGACTTTTCCTTTTCCATAAACTGCCTTTTTAAAAGAAATAATGAGAAGTAATAACTTGCTTTCTAGCATTTTATTAAATATCTGTAAGTACATCGTGTCTGTTACAACGCCCAGGTTACGCTTGTGGACTACATGTTTAACTCTTAATGTATTGTTTTTAAATGTTTTAATGTACTTTTAAATTCTATTTTAATATTTATTTAGGTGTACGTTGTGTTTTAGGGCATCAAATTGTTGCCTGTATGTAAAGCCACCTTGAGTCCCCTCTGGGGTGTGAAAGGTGAGGTAGAAATGTTGTAAATAAATAAACAAATAATGCTTGACCTGAAAGAAATACATAATATTATAAAAACAAGATGTAGTACAGATTAGGTGGTATGGAATTAGAAAATAAAAGGCAGTTTTCATTGTCATTCCAGTTGCAAAATCTTGGGCTGAAGTAGTGAAACAGGGTGTTCCAAAATCACAGGCCAAGGTGACCAGAACAAAATGTGATGTTAAAAGATCACTGAAGAAGAAACCTACAAAACAATCAAAGGTATGTTTCAATTTTGTCAAAACAATGTGTTTTCTATATTTTAGGTTTCGTGGATTCTACAAGTAGGATTGGCAATGTATGATTAATTCATTAATGGTAACTCTAGAGGGGAAAATCATTCCAAATTTGTGTTGAATTTTTATTTAGAAGATAAGATTCCCCAGTATGGCTTCACCCAGATTTTTACCGAAATGCTCAGGATCATAGAATGGTTAAACTGTGTATTGGGAAATGTCTAGAATAACCTCTGCTTGTCCATTTCACCCACTATTCCTTGTGCTCTTAATTTATCTTAAATGTTGAAAATGTGAACCTCCTGGGTCTTGGAATAGAGAATTATTATCAACATATTTCTCTTCCGACATGATAAACAAATATATTTACATGTCTTTGAGACAACAGATTCCCATCTGGTCTTGGAAGCTAAGCAGGACCAGCTCTAGTTAGTACTTGATTGAGAGGCCGCCAACCAATAATTGGGTGCCATGGAGTAAATTTGAAATAATGGTCCTGGCAAAACTGCCTCTGAATATTCCTTGCATAACAAAACTATGAAAATTCATATGTTAACACGACTTAAAGACGTATTGGAACATACATATATACACAATATGTTTGATAGATACAGTTGTAGAGCCTGGATAAATCATAATCAGAAATGGCAATGAAAGATTGGCAGCTCTTCAGTTTCTAAGAATAAAGTAATGAAAAAATGCACTGAGAGTGTGTGGTGCTGCAATCAGCACTAACGTAGCTTAGCAAAGATGTTTGCTAAGGTCTTGGTCGCTACTAGTAAAGAAACGTTCACCTTCTTGAAGTTACAGCTCGCAATAGAAATAATGCCAGGGGTCTGCAGTAAATATAGGTTTGCAAGACCTGAAAGTGCAGGACTGTTTCCTGCATAAAATACATAGAAATCCATCAACCCAATTCATCAACCCAATTACAGTTTTGGTCAGATTGCAAAGATTTTGTTTTTGTTATATCCATTTTCCAGAAAAAGATTTCCACACTGAGAACACCAACAAGAAAAGCCAAGGGTCAGTTTACTACTACAGGTCATGCAAATTCTCCAGCTCCAATTTTGATCGGAAAAGCTCATTCCAGCATAATGAATCTAGCTGCACAAGTCCCGAAAGTAATCTTCAACTATCCCTTGAAGCGACAGCATGACCTAAATGAAAGTTTTACAGGTAAGCTATTATGAGAAAGGTGTAGTGCAGGAGTCCTCAAACGTTTTAAGGAGAGGGATGGTTCACGGTCCCTCAGACTGTGTGGTGGGCAGGGGAGCGGGGAACGACACCATAGTTTGAGGAAAAAATGAACGAATTTTTATGCACACTCCACATACCTTGCTTGTAGTGCAAAAAACATGAGAAAAAGATATACTTAAAATGAAGAACAATTTTAACCAACATAAGCATTCCAGTATTTCAATGGTAAGTGTGGGCCTGCTATTGATTGGTGAGATAGTCAAGTTAATTAGGATTGTCTCGGTTTTTTAGTCACTCCCCGGATTCGAACCTGCGACCTATCAGTCCTGCTGGCACAAGGGTTTAACCCATTGTGCTACCGGGGGCTTCCTATTTTGCAACCCCATTTTGTGAGATGGGGTTGCACAAAAATGATATAGAATGTCCACAACCTTCTTTTATAATCACCTTTCTCTTGCTCTGGTTTGCATTTAAATACATGAAAATCAACTGATTTTTAAATGTTTTTTGCAGGGATGACTGAGATGTTTAAGACTCCACTGAAAGGAGACCAAAAGCATTCTCTTTCTGCTCAAACAACTTTATCAGAAGACATCTCAGAAATGTGCTCTCCGGGAAAATCTGGTACATATAGGGCTATTATGTAGTGATTTGGTTTGCCACAAATCATCTGTTGACAAGTATTGTGAGACTGAAAACCTTTCTCAAGTTACGTACACAGACATTAAATATGTAACAACTTGTTTTATGAAATAAGCTGCCATTTTTCTATGACAGTTTTCCCTCTTATATCAAACATAGTTCTGATCAATCTAAAGTCTACCGTGCACTCTATCTCTGTCACTTTTTATCTGACATTATATTACAGTTGCATAGCCAAGCCTCTTTTGTACTCTTTGCCCCATAACTCCTCTTCAAAGCATTGTAGCAGTCGTAATTGACTGGCAATACACAAATCAGATACCCTATTGTTCTTTTAACAAACAATACTTGTAAATACTTTCCTCACTTCATTCTGATATCTAGGTCATTTTGTAGAAAAAGGTTTTTTGAGTTTATGCTATTAGTGTTAAAGAAGCATATCCTCTTGCATTTTAGCCATGAAAATTTGAATTCAGGTGTGTGTACTGTTTATCTCATGATTTGAATACTTTAAAAGATGATTTACAGTAAATAAATCACAATAGTGGATCAATAATCTTACATATTGAATACAGATCCATGCAATCCAGGAGACTGGAAGGTAACCCTAATATACAGAGCCAGACCTAAGAAGAATATTTTATTTCTCAATTTAGCATAATCCCATCTATCTGACCAATATTTTTTTGGGAATGTTTAAAGGATGTGACAGGACACTTATAGTGTGGAGATAAATGTTTTTCTAGAAAAGAGTTTCATTTTCAGTACAGTATGTAACAGTAGTGCTGGGAGCAGAAACTGTGAATTTTACAAAGTTAGGGAAAAAAAGATGGGAGGAGGGAGCAAAAAGGAGCAAGGACTGGAGGAATGTGAGATAGGTTAGAGTTGCTAAAGCGTTGTGTAAAACAGGCATGGGCAAACTTAGGCCCTCCAGGTGTTTTGGACTCCCAACTTCATATTGCCCTCCTGGGCCTAACTTAACACCTGGCTCCTGCAATTTATCCATCAGACCTGTCCTTGAAACTCAGTTGCACCAGCCCGCCCACCTAAGCTCAGTATTTGTTTTTTACCATGTCAGGCTACTGGTTGTTTGTTCAATAGTTTTATGTTGTTTTAAATGTTGCTGTGTTATATTTTAAACTGTTTTACCAGGCATGTCCCCATGTAAGCTGCCCTGAATCCCTTCAGGGAGATGGTGGTACAAAAATAGTGTTGTTAAAACCTGTTCCATAGAAGTTTAACCTAGGAACATCCTTAAATAAGGGTCTTCATTTGTTATCCCCTGAATGTGTAAACTTTGTGGGTATCTTCTTGGAGAAAACGTGTGTTTAATTTGACTGCTTTCCAGGGAATTAAGGATGAGATCTGAGAATATTGTTCCTGGAATATTGTTGTTTTTACACATGAGGTATTTTCAAAGCTACCCTTTTGCACAGTGGTTCTCAACTTGTGGGTCCCCTGGTGTTTTGGCCTACAACTCCCAGTTTACCAGCTGTTAGGATTTCTGGGAGTTGAAGGCCAAAACATCTGGGGACCCACAGCTTGAGAACCACTTCTTTAGCAGGACACAGGCCAAGGAAAGACACTACTTGCTTAGCAAAGTATTTTCTTGTTGGAAGCTTATACTGAGTAAGAGAAAGGAACATGTGCTGCAATATCTTTATCTACTGGTGACAACCAATGCTTTCTTGGATGGGATGAGAGTTCAGTACAAGGAGATGATAGTGCATTCACAACCTTAGGTGGTGGCATGCAAATTGGTAGATGCAAGCAGTAATCAAAAACTTTATTTCCATCTCTAATTTGTCAAATTATCTTTTTCCTATCTCTCATAGGAGAGGCATCAACCACACCTTTCAACATAACAAATCAGCAAAGTCTTTGCAATGAAAATATTGTATCCCTCTTCAATGAAATGTCTCAAGAAGCATGTCTTGGCCAAGATGATTTACAAATTACTCCCAGAGAAGCAAATAGTAGATTGAAAGTTGGCGTAAGGAAGAATAGTTTACCAGTATCTGTAAAGGGTACACCAGCATTGGAAAATAAAAATCCAGAACAAAAATCGGAAACCATGGTGGAGGTCTCCAAAGTCAAGAGGAACATTAGGACACCCAAGCAAAAAACAGAGCCTGTTGAAGCTCTCTCAGCCGTCAAGAGGATTTTGAAGACACCCAAGCCAAAAACAGAGCCTGTTGAGGCTCTCTCAGCAGTCAAGAGGATCTTGAGGACACCCAAGCAAAAAACGCAACCTGTTGAGGCTCTCTCAGCAGTCAAGAGGATCTTGAAGACACCCAAGCAAAAAACAGAGCCTGTTGAGGCTCTCTCAGGGGTCAAGAGGATCTTTAGGACACCCAAGCAGAAAATTAAGCAAACTGAGGCTCTCTCGGGGGTCAAGAGGCTCTTGAGGACACCCAAGGAAAAACCAGAACCTGTTGAGGTTCTCTCAGGGGTCAAGAGGATCTTCAGGACACCCAAGGAAAAACCAGAACCTGTTGAGGCTCTCTCAGGGATCAAGAGGATCTTCAGGACACCCAAGCAAAAAACAGAACCTGTTGAGGCTCTCTCGGGGGTCAAGAGGCTCTTGAAGACACCGGAGCAAAACACAGAGCCCGTTGAAGCTTTCTCAGGGGTCAAGAGGACTCCCAAACAAAACCTAGAGCCCACTGAGGTGTTTTCAGGCATCAAGAGTCTGTTGAAAACACCCAAGGAAAACCAGAACCTTATAGCAGATGATATTATTTGTTCCAAGTTGATCACCACTCCAGAACTAGCGTCACCGGGGAGCTCCAAGAAAGAACATATAATCCAGCCTATGGAAAAACATGCTGATGAGACACCCAAGGAAAAAGTGACACCTCTAGAAGATTTGGAAGAAATTCAGAGACAGTTGAGGACACCAAAGCAAAGACCTGAAGTTGTGCAAGATCTGGTTGGCATTAGGCAATTATTTAAGACACCAAAGCAGAGGTTTTTGCCAGTTGATGACTTCTTTGGGTTACCGAAGCTTATGGCTGAGCCTAAACAGAGTTCGTTAAGTCTTGAAATAGATTACACAGGTGTCAAAGAAATTTTCAATGCTGCTGATGAACATAAGGTATGTACTCTGTTTGAACAAATTAGGTTTTGTGACTTTTGTGATTCATAAGTGAGTGCTTACGTATTTTCTGTTATGAGTGAAATTATATCTATTTTATGCAATTGTCAGAACAGTTACTGTAAATAAACACTGAATAATTTACAGTAGTGTCTTTCTGCTCTGATTTTTTTTAAAAAAAAACACTTGTTGCTATTGTCAAAATGTTGAGTGTGGGGTTTTTATTCTGAAAGCACACCAATAATTTCAGTAAGGCAAATCATTAACATTGTAATTTTAATTCCCATTATCATACTGAACAGGGGAGGAATGTAATATGCACTTTAGACTGCTATGCTTGTGTAACCTATGCATAATACTACAATAACATAGATTATTATGGACCTATAGTTTTTTCATGTGCGCTACTCTTAACTTTTAGGATGAAATACTTGAAACTGCAAATGTGGAAGAAGATCGTGGACTTTGTATGCTTTCCAGAAAAAATTCTGGTATGTGTAAATATTATTTCAGTAAAATGTTTAATTCACAATATTCTTTCTAAAAGAGAAGAAGTAACTAGAACTGTAAGTAGACATTTTCAAAGCAGCTTTAGACCTCAAAAGTCTCAAACAGACCTACCTACTATGTATTAATTTACTTGGTTTCCCTGGAGTGGACAGGGCATATTGCTCCCTCCATCTATGTCAGTGGTTCTCAATGTGGATCCCCAGGTGTTTTGAATTAGAACTCCCAGAAATCCCAGCCAGTTAACCATCTGTTAGGATTTCTGAGAGTTGAAGGCCAAAACATTTGGATACCCAGGGGTTGAGAACCACTGATCTATGTTGATAGAGATGATAGCTTTTTAAAAGCATCTTCTACAGAGGATGAACTGCTTGTTCATTGTTGCTTTTGTTTTGGTAGGATGTAGTGAAACTTCTGTAACTGTGTAATGTTTGCAGTATGATGGTATCTAATGTTTGCATCAACTCATATATACCTGGACAGCACCTAGGACTATCATTTTTGAGAAGCATAGTATGAATCACTGGTGAAATCACATTTTGGTGTCTCAAATGTTAGCCCTCTCTTTCTAGGTATATTTAACCTGCTCAGTTCCCCCCTAAAAACTCTAGCTTTTCAGATACAGAACATATGCCATATATCAGTCTTCAGCTGCTCAGCTATAGAAAATCATGATAACCATATCTAATACATGTGGTCTAATACAATTGCCTGAATCCCCCAAATAACTGCAGGAACAGGCCTAAAAGCCAAGATAGGTTGGGCTGTGTTATGCATATTGGGCAATAAGTGTAAGGCTTCATTGTAGATAGCAATTTGAACACACAAGGCCCAATGTTAATCTCCTATTGAATTGCTTGTTCATAGAAAATAAAGTATTTGACTGAAATGGTGATCTCTAGGAGGAAAGAACAAATACAATCTAGCTCTTAAATATTTTAAGGCTTGTTTATTTCGTTAGGGAGTGTTTGGCTAGATTGTAACATGCTGAGTAATCTGTATTTTATCCATTTGCAGGATAAATTGGAGACTTGTATTCTTTTGTTTGGTTTTTTTTTTCTTTCAATATAAGTTTATTTTGTCTCCATCTGGATAAAATGGGTTTTGAGGAATTTTCTTTACAAAAAATAATGAACAATAACCATAATGCAATTTTGTGAGAGCCTAGAATAGGAACTTCTTCAAAAGTTTAGGTTGACCATCAGCTCTGCTAATATCAGTAGAACTTACTACTAAGATTTTGAAGCTAGCCTGGTGATCTAGATATCCATTTATATTTATAAGAATGTATAAGAATTATATTGCTATAAGAAATCCACTACAATTTTGTCCTGTTTAAACCTGTGAAATGCCTGGGGAGTCTTCTCCAGTGCAAACAAGATATTCTAAAACATTTCTGGTCCCAAGCATTTTGAAAAAGGGAAACTCAACCTGTACTGTAAAATAGAATTGTTTGCCACCGGTAACTGTTGTAACCAATGTGTGATAATTACATATGCACACAAATATTTCTTTAGTAAAAAATGACTTTACCAAGTACAACCTTCTCAATACTTTTTGAATAATAAAAGTACCTTCATGATGTGCCTTTCCATGATAGTCATGTGAGAATAATCTTGAACATGCTTTATTTTAGACTCTTTGGAAAATGAACTTGAAAAGAAAGGAACAAATCTGGAAGATTCAACTGAAATAAAATTTCCTTTTACAACAGAACGTGAAGAACATAAATTTGATTTCAAACCTAAAGACAACCTACTGAATGAATTAAAAACAGAGGCTATAGAAATTGAATGCATGCCAAAAAGCCACCAGGAGGATGGAACCGAGTCTCCAAATGCAGACAAAACCAATTTTTTAAAAGAACAAACTGCAAATCTTAGTTCCAAAGATAAAGAAATAGCTGAACCATTGGATTCAGGTAGAAAAACTAGGAAACGAAAGTCAGATGAGTCCAGCACAACACCGAAACAAAAAGGGAAGATGCAGAAGCTTACAAGGAGTGCACAAAGAGCGAAATCAGACAGATCTGAAAAAAGCAATACCAATGTTGAGCAGAGTATTTATGAATCTAGCAAACTTTCAATTGAGACAGATTGCAACATACAAAATAAAGAAATTGAACCTTCAGAGATGGAAAGCACCAGAAACAGGATATGCCTCAGAAATGCAAGAGAAAAGGCCACCCCGATAAAAACAGAAAATGAATTATTAAACACAGTTATTAATGAAAATAAAAGTGGAAGTACTAAATATGTGGCATCTAAACTATATAAAACTGAAGCTTTGGAAAATAATACAGAAGAAGTTGAGGAAAATGCAATTAAGGGAAAGGGGAAAAAAGTTCGCTTCCTACTTGAGAAAAATAATTCTATGTTTCTTGAAGACAAATGTGTTCTTGGAGATAATGATGGTATCCCTGAAGAAGAAATGAGTGCATTTTCTAAAAAGTTGACTTCTCCTGCAAAAGAGAATACATCACGAAGGAGCAAAATTAAAGCTTCTGTTGTATCACAACAACTTTGCTTTTCGCTTTCAGAAGGAAAGGACGCATTTGAGACTTGCAGAGACAAAGACAAGAAAGGCATAAAGTTGTCTTTTGAAAGCAGTACTCTTACAAAAAAAGACCCCTCAGTAATTAGTTCTAGTTTTTCCCATGAAAAAAATGTGCAGGAAATGCAAGTAGAAGAAAGTCCCAATGAAACTCAGAAAGTCCCCTTGGAAAGCATTTCAAGTCCTGTAGTTCACAGTCCATTAAAAAAGCAAGATGTTGCCAAAGGAAATCCACCCAGGAGAGGCCGAAGCAGAGAAAACATTTCTCATGAAGTATGTGCAGAACATGACAGTGAACAATCAGCGGACACAAAAAAACAGAATATTACCAAGGAAGAAAATCAACCAAAGAGGGGTAGAAGAAGGACTGCCCCAGCATTCAAAATTCCGTTGCCTGTGGAGGACATTGTTCTTGTAAAAGAGAATCCCAAAACAGACAGCATCAACTCTCCTGAAAGAGAATGTTCCTTGCTACAAATTCATGACGAAGCTCAAAAGGAGTCTGTGGAAAGCATGGAAACTCCAACGGAGGAGCATCCAACAAGAAAACAAAAGGTGGAAAAAGAGAATCCACCCAGAAGGGGCCGAAATAAGAATGCTATTTGTCATGACACCTCCACAGAACACGACAGTAGAAAGGCAACTGAAGTAATTGACTACAGTATGGGTGGCACCGTAAATGAGAATCAACAGAAAAGGACCAGAAGGAGAGGAGCTGTTCCTGTAGTCCAAGAAGACAGTCTTCCAACAGCAGACTCAATAGCTATAAAGAGGACCCACCAAAGAGAGGCAAGAAAAAAGTAATTGATGAAAAAGCATTGGCAGAATGTGAAACAAAAGAGGCTGCTATAGTAGATGAAAATACTGTTGCCAAAAGTGCTCCATCAACAAAAATGAATGAACCAAAAAAGGGAAGAGGAAGGAAGATTGCCCCTGTGTCACTTTTTTCTCCCCTCGAAAATAATAGCTTAATTTTGTCTCCATCAATCAAAAGAAAAACAGCAATAGAACAAGGAAGTAGTGTTTTGGAAACTGTAGCTACTGTAGATAGTGGGACTCTATCACGTAGAGGCAGAAGAAGAAAAGTTGATAACATAAATGCAACCAGCTCAGCTCCTGTATTGCTTGATAAAGACAAAGAGGAAAAAATATGTAAAGATATGCCAGTAGAAAATTTATCACAACAACTTTGCTTTACCCTTTCAGAAGGGAAGCGCACATTTGAGACTTGCAGAGACAAAGAAAAGGAAGGCATAAAGTTGTCTTTTGAAAACAGTACTCTAACAAAAGAAAACCCCTCAGTAGTTAGTGCTGGTTTTTCCCCTAGAAAAAATGTGCAGGAAATTCAAGTTGAAGAAAGTCCCAATGAAACTCAGAAGGTCTCCTTGGAAAGCATTTCAAGTCCTGTAGTTCACAGTCCATTAAAAAGGCAAGATGTTGCCAAAGAAAGTCCACCCAGGAGAGGCCGAAGCAGAAGAAACATTTCTCATGACAGTAAACAATCACCTGACATGAAGAAACAGAATGTTACCAAGGAAGAGAATCAACCAAAAAGGGGTAGAAGGACTGCCCCAACGTTCAAAATGCCTTTGCCTGTGGAGGATATTGTTCTTGTAAAAGAGAATCCCAAAACAGACAGGATCAGCTCTGTTGAAAGAGAATGTTCCTTGCTACAAATTCATAATGAAACTCAAAAGGAGTCTGTAGAAAGCATGGGAACTCTTACAGAGGAACATCCAGCAAGAAAGCAAAAGGTGGCAAAAGAGAATCCACCCAGAAGAGGCAGAAATAAGAATGCTATTTGTCATGACACCTCCACAGAACAAGACAGTAGAAAGGCAACTGAAGTAATTGACTACAGTATGGGTGGCACCGTAAATGAGAATAAACAAAAAAGGACCAGAAGGAGAGGAGCTGTTCCTGTAGTCCAAGAAGACAGTCTTCCAACAGCAGACCCAATAGCTCTGAAGAGGACCCACCAAAGAGAGGCAAGAAAAAAGTAATTGATGAAAAAGCATTGACAGAACATGAGACAAAAGAGGCGGCTGTTACAAAAGATGAAAATACTGTTGCCAAAAATGCTCCATCTACAAAAAAGGGAAGAGGAAGGAAGATTGCCCCTGTGTCACTTTTTTCTCCCCTCGAAAATAATAGCTTAATTTTGTCTCCATCAATCAAAAGTAAAGCGGCAATAGAACAAGGAATTGGCGTTTTGGAAACTGCAGCTACTGTAGATAGTGGGACTCTATCACGTAGAGGCAGAAGAAGAAAAGTTGATAACATAAATACAACCAGCTCAGCTCCTGTATTGCTTGATAAAGACAAAGAGGAAAAAATACGTAAAGTTTTGCCAGAAGAAAATGTATCCAAAAGGGGAAGAAGAAAACAATTAGTTCTCTGTGAAACATTAACAGTAAATAATTCACAACTAGGAAATAGTGAAAACACTGGATCAGGTAAAGATAAACCTGTGCATTTAGAAACAGGTTTTGAAAAAAAGAACCAATCAAAGAGGAAGAGGGAGGAACGGAATGTTCTTTCTTCTGATGAACTACTTCCTTCTCTCAAAGTAAGCATCACTCTGCCATCATCAGAGAAAGATCAAACAGCCAATGAAAATGTTGGGAAAAATAAACGAACAAAAAGTTGTAGAAATAAGAATGAAATAGTGGAATTTACCACATCTGTCAGAAGAAACAACAAAGCTACTCAAGAGGTTTTTCAGGAAAAGGATTTGAAAAAGAAAAAAATAGTAAATGAGAAGCAGTACAGAAGAGGCAGAAAAAAAGCTGATGCATTTGAATCAGCTGTCTGTGTTTCTCTAAAAGAAAAAGATGATCAACAGGAAGTTCTGGACAATACTGCTCCCAGTAAAAAAGTGACATGTAGGAGGGGCCAAACATTTCATAAAGGAAATACCTTGCAGAAAGATACCGATCAAAGGAACAATTCTCAGAATGATCAAAATAACAGTTCTGAATTACCAGCTCAGGTGGCAAAAAAGAATTCATCCAGAATCGGCAGAAGAAAAGAAGTTAAGAATGATTCAGAAACTAGCACAAATATTTTGGACGTTTCTGAAGGTTTCGTTATGGAAAGTAAATCAACAAGATCTAAGAAAGGTATGTAGCCATCCTTTAGAGGTAGGGTAGGCAACCGAGTGCATTCCACGTTTAGAAAGGTACTCCCAACTTAAGGAAGTTTGTGGAAGCCATCCAATTGCCCATCCATCCTTTAAAGAGTTGGGTTTTTAAAAAGAAAGTTTCTAGTTCTTTTCAAAATTACTAAATCTCATTATACTTGCAATTATTCATTACACCTGAACTTAGTTCTAAAATATTTCTTAGCACTTTGTTCATTATAACTTTCAGTGTTAAATAATGATGATACTGACTAGTCTGGCTTGGATTGTGTGTGAGTGACAGGTAGAGAGGTCCTAGTCTGATAGTTTTTACAAAGAGAGGGGAGAAATATCAAACCAAGGAACGCAAATAAGCAAAATGCTCACCCATCAATGTGCTTTATAGTTATGCTCATTTATAATTAATATTTAGTATGCATAATTTTTTTGTGTGGGATTTGAAGAGCATTCACACCCGATACCTGTACTTATCTTTTATAGAGAGGGATCTGTAGATAATGAGAATGCTCTATTGTCTAACTGTTGCAAAAAGAATGTGAAATGATTCATTTTATGCCATTTTTATTTTGTATGGAAAATAGGAAAGGCCAAAAATACAACATTGAAAAAAAAGAAGGGAAACTGAAGATATCACAGCTGTGACTGATCCTTTAGATAAAGAAGGCAGAACAAGAGGAAGCAGAACAAGAAAAGGAATATTGTAAATATTAATACCCTACCTCCTACCCCTTCCTTTCATTAAGCAAATGGATATGTCTTAAGATTTTAAAATTCAGGGAACTTAAAGAAATGCTTTGTTTGGGCAATGTTCTTCAGCTTATTTGTTCTTAATACACATTCTTGGTTCTTGTTTTATCCATCTCAGATGCTTTGTAGAAAATGAATATTGGAATTGTTGGCATTAGGTTCTCATTCCCTCCCTCGCTCCTCCATTAAGCTAATGATATGCCTCTGGATTTTAAAATATAAGGAATGCTTTGCAGTTAAATAAATACTTTTGAAAACTTTAGCTTATTTATCATTATACTAAAGTTTTGTATTTGTAGAATTTTGCAACAGCTCTGATCTGTTTTTACTGAAAATATTTTGGTATTGTTACTGTATCTGTACATTTTGATATTAAAGCATATTTTAATCTTGCATCTCTTGATGTATTTAAATTCCAAGGTGGTTGTCACAGTAGCATAAATTTGTCTGTTCTTGGCCATCAAGAGCAACGCATTAATGCAAAAAAAGAAGCATTGGAGCAATGTTTACCATAGCTAACACATCAATCAATATGCTGTAGTCTATACACCTCGGAATAGTAGTATGAGGACTTACGGGTATTTTTCTTTCTTCAAGGCACCCAAGTTTTTATGCATAGGCATCATTTCCTATTTTAATGCTACTCCTATATATAGCTTTCTGTTCAAATGATTTTAATTTTGTCATTTGGAAATTATAGTTGTTGGGATTTATAGTTAACCTACAATCAAAGAGCATTCAGAACTCCACCAGCGATGGAATTGAACCAAACTTCGTACACAGAACTCCCATGATCAACAGAAAATACTGGGGTTGGTGGCCATTAACCTTGAGTTTTGGAGTTATAGTTCACCTACATCCAGAGCATTTGATGGATCTGGACCAAACTTAGTACAATTACTCAATATCCCCATATGTGAACACTGGTAGAATTTGAGGAAAATAGACCTTAATATTTGCGAGTTATAGTTGCTGGGATTTATAGAGCTCCCATGACCAACAGAAAATACTGGAGGGTTTGATGGGCATTGGCCTTGAGTTTTGGAGTTGTGGTTCACCTACATCCGGAGAGCACTGTGAACTCAAAACAATGATGGATCTGGACCAAACTTGGTTCCTAAGACCATCGGAAAATCTATATTTCTGATGGTCTTTGGCGACCCCTCTGATGCTCTCCTCGTGACCCCCCTAGCGGTCCCAACCCCCAGGTTGAGAAATGCTGTGTTAGGAAAGGCAGGTAACAAGTACAATTTATTATTGTTAATATTCTCTATTCCCACAGGCACACAAATGATACTATAGATTCCAATTTCTGCAAGCTGTTTAGTGTTATCAACCCTCTGTTTCTTAAGCTATTTTGCAGGAACCACAGCTGGCAGAACCTACTATTCTTCCAATGCATCCTGAACAATACTTTTCAGTTTAGGGTATTGCCAATCCCATCCCTCCTATGACCCCCTTTAGGGAACAGCATTTAGGAAACTAGCGAATAGACTCCTCCTCTTCCAACAAATGCAACTGATAGCATCACTGTACTGCACTAACAAGACTGCAGTACACGCAATAATTTGAAGTGACTACATCTCATTGCAAAAAGGGTGTTTCAAAAAAGCCAAGAACGCTACATTCTTTGTTTCTCTTCTTTATTTTATTCTACCTGTCCCTAAATCTCTCACTATCCCATAACTCTTTCTACCCCTACACCCATTTTCCACTCCCTATATCACTCTATTTTCCCTTCCCTTTCTCTTCTCTTGCCCCTCAACTCTCTTCTTCTCTTTACTTTTATCTTTAATTTATGTCTTTACATATTTATTTCTATTTAAAGTTCTTTGATATTTTATGGCAACTATGTTTTTTAGGAAAAGAATTCTTAAAGAAAGGTGTTTCAAAATGATGGACTAAATTTCAAAGCAGTATAATTCACAATGTCAATTACACAAAAAGCTAGAAACAGTTTAATGAGTTACCAAGTTTTAACAGTCTTGAGCCAGAAACAAATATTAAAAATAATTTTTCGAATGGAGAATGTTAAGCCTTTTTCAGGGATATCTTGCAAATGGCTGATGTTAGGGGCTGCTTATGTGTTAAGAAAGGCATCTAGCAGTAATTTGAAATTATAAGGAGCCCCCGGTAGCGCAGTGGGTTAACCCCTTGTGCCAGCAGGACAGAGGACCAAAAGGTTTGAATCTGGGAAGAGCATGTACGAGCTTCCTCTGTCAGCTCCGGCTCCCTATGTGGGGTCATGAGAGAAGCCTCCTGCAAGGATGGTAAAACGTCAAAAAACGTCCGAGTGTCCCCTGGGCAATTCTCGCACACCAGAAGCAACTTGCAGTTTCTCAAGTCACTCCTGACTTGAGAAGGGTAAAAATTCCACTCTTGGGTGGTTCATGCTTGTTAGAGATACAGAGATTTCAAGCCTGGCCAATTTTTCTGAAATCCCCTATATTTTGCTATATAGATGTTTTTGAAAGTTCATTGAATTCTCAGGCAGTGGGAAAGGTATTTTGCAAAGCCTTCTTTGGTCTGAAGACAATTTTCTGAAAAACCAGAAGTGATGCAGACACACTTTTCTCCAGAGCCTAAAACAGACTGGCTTATCAAATTCAGGTATGTATGTGGCAATATATGTGACCTGCACTTTTTTCAACCCATCGTATCTCATCCCTAAACATTCTATTCATAACATCCCAAGTTTTACTTCTTACATACATAAGGGAGAATTTTAAAACCAAACATGAAGTGTGAATTTCCTTTTACTGCCAATTCCCAAAAAGCCTTATTTTCCATCAACGTATAAACTGCAACTGATAGGATGACACAGGGATGTAAGCTGAAAATGTACTTGACTCCAATTGTTTTGTTATAAGAAGATGCTACTAATTTTTCAGTGCACTAATAAAGCTTATAATAGTGTCACAAAAATAAATTTACTTTCCATCCAAGCAAGTGCTTGCAGTTAAAGGAAAGTCAATTCTATCACTCCCATTCCTTTTAATAAAAACAATTTTCCTACAAAAATTATTAATTTACAGGCATCATTTTACCTGTAAAGATTAAAAAATTTAACTTTAAGAATGTCAACTATTATGAGCGTTCAAGATCTTTCTATTAAGATAATATACCTTCACAGGATCAGCAACATTGCTCTCAGTTCTTAAAGTTGAAGGATGCTGCTCCAGATGGCTTTGCATTTTCACCTGAGACGAGATAAAAACCATGATGTACTTTGCTAATGTATGAACTGCAACAAAAGATATGGACTCAACTGTGGAAGGTCTAACTGTATATCAGGGTTCCCCCTCTACTTGCCTCAACCCCACTTCCCTTTCCTGGCCTTTGCACTGTGAAAAACACTTCATATTTATTTTGGTACAGACCAAAAGGCCACATATAAACTTTTAAAACATACTATCAGCAGAAAACAAACTGTTTTAAGACATGTGCCATCAGTCTGAAATGTACACAATTTAAAATGCATGCCATCAGTTAAAATATATCAAACATTCAAACCATGTCACATCTGTTACAAATATATATAGGCAGTCCCTAAGTTATAAAAAAGAATGCTATCTGATTTTTAACACCCAGATGTTGCTCATAGAAGGAACGCAGAAAGGATGGCTATCTACAGTGTCTGTGTTTATTAGTATGTTAATGTAAGGATTTGTGCCCATCCAAAAATGACCCCAGGATACTGAGCAACTTAGTATAACCCAACAATAAAATCCATATAAAACAACAGTTTAAATCGAACACAAATAACATAGCAAAATCATGGTAGCAAATAACCATTTATATTTATAAGAATTACGTTACAAGAAACCCCTGCCACCTTGTCTTG